GTATTACTACAGGAAAAGTTTTTTTTTTTCTGGTAATAAATACCATATAATCAAATTACTGCAGAAATACCACTGCTCCTCACTGCTCTTTATTTTTAAATCTGGGGAAAAAAATGTTTCCAAAAATATAAGGGCAGGTGATGGATGCAATGTCACCCTCAGCAGAGCTGCAAAATATCTCAGAGGAGCCGACTGGGCCATCCTAACATGCAGCAGAATGATCTTAACCTAGGCAGACAGGTCACTCCATATACACCAAACAGACACATTCATGAAGACCTGGAAATCAGCAGCCCATGAACGAAGTGGGACTGCTTTTGATAAATGAAAACAGCTCTTCCTGTCATATGTAGCAGATACAGTCATTTACTGGAGCCAATCTTTTAACTGATGGGAGTATTTTATAGCAGTTAGTATGGAATCAGTTCATAGCAGGCCAGGGGCCAAATAGCTGAGCTTGAAAATACTATATACCGTTCCCTTTATGCAGCCTTTGTGGATGAAAAGGATTTTATGGGAACTTCTTATTTTGGTCATTAGAGCCATTAAACAATGAGTATTTGTTTGACAAAACTCAGTAGTATCTGGTGAAAAAGAAGTTATTTTAGCTTTAGCAGTAGTACACTGTGCGCTGTCTCTACTGTTGATCTCTCAAGATGGGAGAAGTTAGAAGAAAGCCCAAGGTGGTTGGTGAGGATGTGGGTACTATATTCTTATCTATTATTAATATTAAAACTATCACCAGCACTTAATACAAGGGTCAAAAAACAAAAAAAAAATTTACTTTGAAGAGGGAATTTGGCAAAGAAAATCATGCTTCATAGTGATGAGCAAGGGGGGCTTCAAGGCGTGGTCGGGCAATGACTCAGCCAGGTCTTTGATCCTGGGGTATGGGAAAAGTAATTTCTTCTTAGACTTTCTCAAAACAAAGCTTCTAAATGATTCAACATCAGTAGGTCTAAAGCAATACTTGGTAATCTCCCTATGCTTGGCAAGTAATATATTCTTTGTGTAATGTACAAAAAAATGAGAAAGACTATGTAGGGCCAGTGGGATGGCTCAGCGGGTAAAGGTGCTTGCTGCCAAGCCTCACGACTTCAGTTCAATCCCTGGAACACAGGGTAGAAGGAGAGAACCAACTCTCCAAAGTTGGCCCCTAACCTCCACATGTGTATCATGACACCCATGCATAAACTATACACATAAAATAAATATGAAATATGAAAGTAAATAAAATTTTAAGAGACTTGAAAAGGCAGGCATACATGAGACACGCACATGCTGTTCTGCAGTGATGATTGTTGTTTCCTGAACCCTCTTCACACTGATCTTCTGGAGGTTATAAAAGGCTTAGGAATTACTGAATTCAACTGTTTTACTCAATCAAATTGTTTTCTATTTCTCCTTAAAAAGGGATAAGATATAGAATATTAAGCAGAAACGCTAATTCAGAGCTCCAGCAGATGTCGCCCCCATCTGCAGCTTCAGGTCTGGCTCCACCTTTCCATTGCAACCTCACTGTGAGCGCTGAGAGCAGGAGGCATGACTGAAAGGTGGGCAGTAACCAAGCGATCCCTGTGCCAAGGCACAGGCTGTGAACACAGGCACCATGAACCGAGTCCCTGGACGCCTTACCCCAGTCTGGGGATGACATCAGAAGCGGCAGGAAGGGCACTCGGGACCAGCTGTCTCATGCAGTGATAAAACAGAGCAAACAAGATGGCCATCTGCAGAGACCTACCTGGGCCTGACTCCCTCCGCTCCCACTTCCGCTGCTGCCTCCGCTGCCGCCCCCTCCGCTTGCCTGCTTGTGCTGCTGGGAGCCCGTCATCTCGGCCATCCTCCTCTCCATCTGCTCCAGCCGCTCCAGGATGGACATCCTGAACTGGTTATCTAGGGCAGAGCAGAAGAGTGAGGGTACGTTCTAGGAGAAAAGCACTTGACCTGTGCGGCCCATGCCAGCGTGTGGGCCTGGCTTCCAGAGGCTCAGGAACATCAACGGATCAGGGACAGTGGCCAGGCCAGGTCTGCCTTGCACCAGCAGAGGCTGTCTCCTCACATGAGAATGTGGCATCTACAGCAGCCCACAGTCCCCAGGGGAGGGACCAGAAGAGCCCTTTTCCTCAAAGTTCCTGCCTTCTTTCCAGTTTCTGCCACTAGCTCTCTTTGTGCAATTCCCCCATGGAGACCTTGAGATCTGCCAGAGGGGGTCTCTGCAGCAGATGCAGGGAGTGTGGTGTAATAAATGTTAGTGGAAAAAGACAACTGTGGGAAAAGAGAGATGGAGACACACATTGTATGTCCCCCTTACACATTCCCTTTAACACATCTCAGAGACAGACACAGGTCTCTCATTCCTACCTAAGGAAAAGCAACAGGCCATCACTGGGAGCTGGGATGGTAACTCAGAAAGAAAGGGTTGTGAGTCTATGCCCTTGAACTGAGATCAGAAACGTGAATCTGCACCCTCACCTGTGCACACTCAAGCACATACATGTAAGAGTCGGGTTATGTCATATGAGTAAGAGGCCAAACTATTATAAGGTCATTAGTCACCAGTGCCTATATCCATTCCGCAGATTTTCATGAATGCGACACCAGGGCGTTGGCAGTCGGGGAGAGAAGAGGCCTCTTTGTTAGAGCCAGAATGTGAAAAGCAAGGTGGCTGGACACAGAATTGAGAGAAGTTAGGAAAGGCAACACCCGGGGTTAGAGAAAGACCAGGGATGCCAGACACAGTGGGAAGAGGGGCAAACTCAGGGCCCTGAGGCAGGACACTTGAGGGGTGGGGGAGGGGCGGGCCACAGAGAAGGGAGGGTAGGGCTGCAGAGGTCAGCTGCTAGGGACCCCGCTGGGCTGTGGCTAACTGCACAGCCAGGACAAACATCTGGTGCCTCTGGTCTCGGCTCTTGAATGTGGAGAGCAACTGTACTCGTCCCCAAGAGCTGCTACGGGGGTCACACCAATTCATGTACATCCCAGCGCAGAACATGCAATGTCCTAGGTGAGTGTGCTTGCCATCAGCTTCTGACAGTGAATCAAGGTCTTCAGGAGCTGGCTGAAGGGCTGTGACAGCATATTTCACCTCAAACTGCGAAAGGCACACTACGTTTAGAACACGGTCGTCTGAACCATGAAAAGGGACAGCCTGGAATGGGAAGATTCATCAGTGTTCCTTGCTACCCTGACAGTCACTCCCTAGACAGATAGGCAGAGCAGATGAACCGTAGGTGGGAAGGCAGGGCCACCTGAGGCGGGTGCTTCCCGGGAGCACCACCACTTCCAGCTCTGGCTCTTCACTCGTCACGTGAGGCAGGTGCCCATGTTTCATGTTATAGATGAGCAGACAGAGGCAGGGTAAGGACCACTCCTCTACCTGCCCTCTAAGAGCCTCCAGGCAGGAAACATTACCAAAGGACAGAGCACAGGCCGGAGGCCTGGGAAGCAGAACTCTCATTCTCTGGAAGCAGCATAAACACCTGTTCTCCAGGAACATTTAAAATATTGACATCAAACCCACTTTACTAAATCACAAAAACAATACCAAGACCATCAAGAGCTCTGATATCCTGCCTGCAAACACAGTTAACAGAAACAATCCTTTCTTGCTAAGGTGAAAGGGTACCCTCCCTCTTGGCTCCAATCTCACATGCTGGTAAATGCAGCCATCTTGGAGGACCCCACCACCAACTCAGAATAAACACTGGCTGGGAAACCTGTTTGTTGCTAGCTTCATCTGTGGCTGCTAGTGGGAAACCACTAGCAGGGGATGGGACACCAGGAGGGGCCTGGCTACTAGTCCCACACCTCTCCCCCAGTACTTGAAATTTGCAGGATGCAGGTCCCTCCAGCAGGAGTCAGCTAAAGACAGAACCCTACCTTTTGGTCGTGGCTCAGCAATAAGCAGCAGGAACAACTGTTATCCGTCAGGGGACACTGAATGGTTCCCCACTTCCTCCTTGTAGTACTAAGCTGGTCCTCTGTTCACCTCTGAACCTGAACTAGGCTACTCACCTGACTGACATGATGTGGCTTGATTCTAAACCTCCACCCACCCCATCAGCATCTTTTTTCCAAGCCAACAGATCTTGCAGCTGCTACATGTGTTCCTGCACTTTTTCTTCTCGGAGCACTATGAGCCCGGCAGCCAATAAGACCCTTCCTCAGATAATGCAATGGAGGTACCAAATGCTCTGAGTCCTGGTTACACTCACCTCCCAAGCCAGCCCACTGGTCCCCTGTGGGCCAGAGGTGGAGTGTGCTGTGTTAGGGGTGGTCACCTGACCATCCCTCCTGCCAGGCCCAGATACTGCCTGACTTGCCAATCCAAAACAGTCCAACCACCACTCAGGCTTTTGTTCTCTAGGGACAGGGTTGCCCTGATGCTATGTGGTGAGCACTTCCATGTTATTAAGCTTCTCTGAGCAGCACTTCATGGAGATACTCAGGGTAATTATTGGCCTCTTAATCATGAGCACAGTAGTACTTTTAGCCTCTCAAACAGGAATAGGAAGGGAGTGATAATAACAGTATGATGGTTTGAATGAGAATGTCCCCCATAGGCTCCAAGTATTTGGACATTTTGTCCCCAGTGGTGGCGCTGTTTTGGGAGGTTTTAGAAGGTATGGCTATCCTGGAGGAAGCACGTCACAGGGGGTGGACTTAGAGAGTTCTTATGCCTTGCAAGATCTACAGTCGCTCTCTTGCCTTCTGTGCCTGCTTGAAGATGTGAGAGCTTAGCTTCTGCTCCTCCTCCAGCCACCTCTGCTGCCATGCCTCCCCACCATGATGGACTTTAATTCCCCTGGAATCATAAGCTAAATAAATTCTTCCTTCTATAAGTTGCTTTGGTCAGTGTTTCTATCACAGTAACAGAAAGTGACTAATACAAGCAAGAAAACCAATCTCAAAGGTAAGTGACTGAGCAGTACCCAGGCACCCAGGTTTCCAGGGCCAGGAACCCTGAGAGTGCACATCTCCTGTTCTGTGCTGACCAGGAAACAGAGACTGGTCACACCTCCCTCCTCTGAGCAGAGCCTGGGTTCAGCTCCTGATCTATAAGGCTTGCTCAGTCACATGGCTAGAAAAGTCTTCACAAGTACATCACCAGCAAGTCCAGAGTCATGCCTGTATCTTACTTGGGTTTTACAGCTTTATTTTATATTTTTTAGCAATTAAATTTATTTATTTTTATGTATGAGTGTTTTGCCTATATAGATATAAGTGCACCCATGCATACAATCCCTGTGTAGGCCAGAAGAGGGCATCAGATCCCCTGAAAGTTTCAGATGGCTGTTATCAGCTTTGTGGGTGCTGGGAACCAAACCCAGGTCCTCTGCAAGAGCAATCAGTGCTCTTAAAAATTAAGCCGTCTCTGTAGCCCCTTAGCATTTTTTTTTACAATATTTTTTTAATGTGATGGATATCTCTGTGAGATTGAGGCCAGCCTGGTCTACACAGTGAATTCCAGGCCATCTGGGGCTACAGGGAGACCCTGTTTCAAAAAGACCAAATAAAATAAGATAACCAAACCAAACTAACCAAATAGAAAACATTATTTTAAAATATTTCCCAAGGGGCTGGAGAGATGGCTCATCAGTTAAGAGCACTGATTGCTCTTGCAGAGGACCTGGGTTCAATTCCCAGCACCCACATGGCGGCTATGAACCCTCCTTAACTACAGTTCCAGGGGAATCCGAAGCCCTCTTCTGACCTCTGCGGCATTGCATGACACAGGTGCACTCACATACATGCAGGCAGTATACTCACACACATAAAATAAAAATAACAAATATTTTTTAAAATTCCTCAAATTCCCACTTATATATTGCTTTAATTGTACAATGAATGTGATTATCTTAAGATAAGGGAAATATTATTCCTTAGAAACATAAATTTAAAAATCCTCCTTGTATTAGGGCACAAAAAGCACATCTTAAAGATTCAGTCATTTATGCACAAATATTTATCAAGCACCTATTATATGCTGGGAGAGTATGTGTACGGGAGAGTGCCTAGGGTAGTAAAAACATTCCTGCTATCAATAACTTGCAACTAAGCTCTGAAGCTTGTTTTAAATAACATATGGAATGAGGGAATAATATATAGACAGGGGCTGATGAACCTGGCCCTGGTTCTCATCCACAATGCCTCAAAGTCAACAATGACTCAGCTCTGAAGATTTCCTTCCAGATGTCCTTGGGGCCAACTCAGCAGAGCCACTAACTACGCCATTAAGAGAACCAAAGTCAAGATGGCACGCTGTCAGGAGCCCGAGGCCTGGAGGTTGTGAAGGCTGCAAGGGACTCCAGAGGACCCTGCCTGGAGTCCCCAAGTTTTATTCTTATCCACAAGTATCAAGCTTATGTCTGTCTCACTGAGAGAGCAAGTTACTGCTTCACTAATAAGAACACAGCTTGTGTAAGGGGCACCCTGGGCTAACGGTTAGAAGGCATTCTGTTTCTGGTGACACTTGTGGCCTCTTGCATGATATATGAGGACAATACAAGTCAGACACCAGACACCCTGAGCACTGTGTACATGTCTGCACATACATGATCTGGCAGGAAAATATAAAGGGCTCCTGAGGGAGAGCCATCAAGACACCATCAACAGCAAATTCACAAATCTACTTGCAGTGACAGCCCAGCCTACAGTGGAAAATAATGGAACTTTTGTGGCCGCATGGAAGGCTGTGAATTTATATGTAGTTAATAAGCTGTGAGCATGAGCTCTAGAGCTGTGAGCCATAACCTCCCCAGGGAAACTACAAACCCAGAAGGGAGGGATGAGCACAATAGGTAAAAGATTTGACTGGCTGGAAGGTAGCAACTGGGTGGATATGAACCCCTGGTCACATGAACATCTCTAGACCTAAAGAATGGGGCAAAGTG